TGCCTGTAGTCCCAGCTACTTGGGAGGCTGAGGCAGGAGGATTGCTTGAGCCCAGGAGTTTAAGGTTGCTGCGAGCTAGGCTGACATCACGGCACTCACTCTAACCTGGGCAACAAAGCGATACTCTGTTTCAAAAAAAATAATATATATATATCCAGGGTCTGAAGTACAGGTCTTATCTTCTCTTGTTTTCAACCTCTTCTAGGAGACCCAAGGAGTCTGTCAGTGTCACCACACACAGATGAAGGCAGTGAGCAATGATTGGAAGCTTGAGCTGACAGGTTCTAGGAGTTCTCTTGTATAGGGCCCTTTCTGCCCATCTGCGCCTCGGTCTCAGAGCCTGTGGGTTTGCAGTGGGATGGTTCCCCCTCCTTCCCAGGCTTCAGCTCATTTGATATCTACACCTTTTCCAGGCTTCTTGCTATACTGCCCAGACCCGGACCAATGAGTTTGCACACTGTCTCCTACTCCCTTAGAGAACTGGCTTGTCATCCTCTCCCCACGCACCATTTTTCCTGTCACTCAACCACTTCTCACTTCCTGCCCTGAACCTCTGTCTTGCCAGAGGCGAGCACCAGGATGGCCAGTCTCACTCCCCTCCTCCGGTAGAAGAGCACAGGAATAGAAAGACAGGGAGGGAACCAGGGGTGTTGCTACAAAGCCTTTGGTGCAAAGATAGCCTTGACTACTTAGCATCCCCTGATGTGTTTACTGCTTGCTGTGTGGGTTCTAGAAATATCACACTCTGCCCCAGGAGAAGTGGTCAACCAGTGGCAAGAAAAGCCTTGCCCCACTCACACGTCCAGCTGCAAGTCATGTTACGGTAAAAGGGTTAAGAAGGAAGAGAACAGGGTGTATCTGCAAACAATATCGAGCCATGACATCTGTCCTGCACAGGGTTGGTATCTGTATCTAGAGTCAATGTTTACATTTGTTGGGCCCCAGGTGGTCCCAGAGATGCTGTGGGGAGAACTCAGATTCTTTTCTGGACACCTCACCCAACATACCAAGTGTTGGAGCTGCAGGATCTAGGGCTTCCCTACTCTTTAACTTCAGTAGTTCAGGGAGTAAAACAAAGCACAGTACTCTGCCCCTGCAATAAGAACCAGACAGTGTATGTCCATTGGAGTCAACTTTAAGCATGACCATGCTCATGGTGGCATCTGTCATGGGAGGCAGTAAGAGAGTGGGCCTGGGCTGGGAAAATAGGTTAAAAGCATCCCATGGTGGTGTAACAGAAAGAATCACAAGCTTTTCCCACCCTAATTATATTCCTGAACTTGGCAACTTTGATGCTTCTAGGTGTTTTCCTCTTCTCTCCCCAGTTTTTTTGTCTTTTTCTTCCCTTTATTCCTTTATTAATATCTTTATTTATTTGTTTGTTTGTTTGTTTTAGAAACAGGGACTTGTTCTATCACCCTGGCTGGAGTGCAATAGGGTGATCATAGCTCACTGCAGCCTCGAACTCCTGGACTCAAGTGATCCTCCTGCTTTTATTAATATTATTTTCAATTCCCAAAGTATAAAACATGTTCAATGTAGAGAAGTCAAAGACTACAGAAAAATCAATGCATTGAGTATACAGTGAGAGTCCTCCTCATCACCATCCCCATCCCACCTCTCTCCCTTCTGTGCACATTCACCTCTTCCAGGCTCACACAAATGTATATATCATATACAAATATAAGGTCTCCCTCTCTCTCTTTAAAGAAAAATGGAATCATGTAATACTTCTCTTGTTTTTGTGATAGTTCTGACTTCTCTTTCTCTCTCCTCAGGGATCCGGTGTGATTAAAGCTGGCTTTGCTGGTGATCAGATCCCCAAATACTGCTTTCCTAACTAGTAAGTCATTCTGTAGCTTAGGCAGAAGTTTGGCTCCCAGCTTTGTTTTAGGGCCGTGGCCAGGTATGATGGCTCACACCTATAATCCTGGCACTCTGAGAGGCCAAGGCAGAAGCATTGCTTGAGGTCAGGAGTTCGAGACCAGCCTGAATAAGAATGAGACCCTGTCTCTACCAAAAAGAAAAAAATAAATAAAAAAAAAAAAAAAAAAAAAACCCAGCCAGGCACTGCAGTGTGCACCTGTGGTCCCAGCTACCCGGGAGGCTGAGGCAGAAGGATCGCTTAGAGCCCAGGAGTTGGAGGTTGCAATGAGCTACAATGATGTCAAAGCACTCTACCCAGGGCAACAGAGTGAGATTCTGTCTCAAGAACAACAACAAAAACCAAGGCAACTGTTTTAGGGCTGTTTTAGCCCCCCTCTTTTTGGAAGAGGAATTCTCATTCAGGTCAGCCTTGGTACTCGAAACAACAAGCAAGGGGCAGGAGCTGGGTTTGAAGTAAGCAAAGAAAATAGTTATCTACATGTTCGAGAGGCACAGGCAAGAGGCCTCTTTTTTTAAATCTGACTTCATCTGATACCAAAAATGTTATCACTGGCGACTCCAGGCTTTGGATGATTGCCTCTTCATGGAGCCCTCTTTTTAAACTTCTCCTGTCACCCAGGCTGGGGTTAACATGAAACCATACTGCAGACAGAAGGGCACAGAGGCCTAGGGAAGGGGCTTCAAGGGGGAAAAAAAGGACAAGACTACCTGTCCAATGTACAGCATCACAGTTTTACTTAATAGAGGTCCTAAGGAGACTAAAATGTTTTGAGTTAACCATTCATATTTAGAAATTGTTATTCCTTATCTCTCTTGGTCTGCCTATACACTGGGGAAAGAGAAGAACTAAAAGTCCTAACTCGTCTAAAATTTCTTTTAATTATTTATAAAGTAATATAAATATAAAAATATGAATATATAAATAACTTAAATAATACATGTTCATTGTAGAAATGGTGGAAAATACAGAAAAGTATAAAGAAGAAAGTCAAAATCAACTGTAACCTCACTCCTCCTCAAAGATAATCACAGTAGAATTTGAGTGTGTATATGCATCTATACATTCTTCCTGCGTTCTGTCTTGAAATGAAAAATGATGGTCCTCTCTGCTCTTCTTTCTAGTGTGGGCAGACCCAAGCATGTTCGTGTCATGGCAGGAGCCCTCGAAGGTGATATCTTCATTGGCCCCAAAGCTGAGGTAATTCCCAGGACTACAGAACAAGCCTCAAGCCACCAGAGGACCTTCCTTATTCACCACATGGGAAATGTCCCAGCACTTGGACATAGCCATGAGTAAAAGGAGAAATTTTCTCTTAAAATTTCCCTTTTGGTTCTCTCATCCTAGCCGTAGGCATTTTATTTCTCCCAGGAGCAGCTTCTGATCTTTTTTTTTTAATATTATAAATTTGCTTAATTATTTTTTTTCTTAATATTATAAATTTGCTTAATTATTATTTCTTTTTTTTTCTTTCTATTCAAAGCAAGGGAATCTGATCTTGAAGAAGAAATATCTGGAACCCCCACTTTGGGAAACACTGAGACCAGTCTTGAAAACAGGGCTATTACCTTATCTTCTGTATTCTGTCACTGCCTTGCCAATGATCAAATTGCCTGGCTTGGTTACTTTTTTGGCAAAAGGGATTCAAGAGGGAGAGCCTGGCTGGCATACCCTAGGGATGAGTTAATTAACACAGTTTTGGCGGAGCGAGGGCCTCTAGTGGCAGAACAACAGAATCATTGTTGCCAACTTTGGCTTCAAGTGCTGAGACCCAGAGGTGGGAGCAGGAGATTGGGTTCTGGAATCAGGTAATGAGGAAAGTCCCTCCTGTCACTTGCCCTAGAAGCACCTGAGGGCCCATAGAGCTGCAGACCCCTCTGCTTTGCTAGCTGTTTAGAAAGCAAGGGCAGTTTGCAGTATACAGTCTAGAGACTTGGAGAATAGGCACCCACCTTTAGCCATGGGTGAGGACAGTGGAGTGGGAACTCAGGAAGCTGAGGCTAATCACTTGCACAGCTCAGTCCTGGGAGAGGAGGGTCCTGGACTTCAAGTCCTGTTCTTTTTCCCCAGGAGCACCGAGGGCTACTCTCAATCCGCTACCCCATGGAGCATGGCATCGTCAAGGACTGGAATGACATGGAACGCATCTGGCAATATGTCTATTCTAAGGACCAGCTCCAGACTTTCTCAGAGGAGGTAAGGGTCGTGTGTATAGGGCACCCCTGTGGGGTATGCAAAACTGGGCAGAACCCCTGCCCCAGAGATGACGATTAACTACCAAGGGTGTTGGAGTCTTACTCTGTGCCAGGTACCAGGCCATGTGCTTTTCATACATTTGAGTTGAATGCTATTCCTATGAGATATAAGTAGCATTATCTCATTTCACAAATAAGCAAACAGAAGCTCAGGAAAGCCAAGTAGTATTTCCCGGATTACCCAGTCAATAAAATAGTAGAGCTGGGATTCAAATCCACATCGTAATTCAGAGCCTATCATGCTCATTAACATCAAAGGAAGTAACTCTCAATTCAGAAGTGCAAAGGAAAGTGCAGGCTACATGTATCAGTTTCCAGGGGAGGGATGGTTTTGGTTTTTTAAAAGCATATTCAATATTGAAATTTAATTTTCTATTTTGAGAATTTTTTAAATGATTTTTTATCATAATAATTCAGCATTTAGAGTTTAACAAAATCTTCTTGACAGATGGAGATATACAGTAGACACAGGGGCCTGTATACAAATCTTGGAGGACAAGGAGGGGAGAAGGGTGGAGGCAAGGGCAGAATGAGACTTTAAAGGGGGCTTGAATTTGGAAAACTGAGAAACCTACTTGGGCAGGGCTAGGTGACAGGCCCAACTTGCCTTTTTTTGGAGGGAAGGTGACAAAGGTCCCTGGGCTCTCAAACCATCAAGGCAGGGGCTTCTCCTCTAGTACTAATGAGGGTGGAAATGTGTCCTCGCCCTGATTGCCTGCTGGGCTCCTTTCACCAGCATCCTGTGCTCCTAACTGAGGCGCCCTTAAACCCACGGAAAAACCGGGAACGAGCTGCTGAAGTTTTCTTCGAGACCTTCAATGTGCCAGCTCTTTTCATCTCCATGCAAGCTGTGCTTAGCCTGTGAGTAGCAGCTGGCTAGCCTCGGCCCTTGGGTGGAAAAGCAGTCCTTTGGCACAGTTGAGGCAGGCTCTCCTCTGGGGTGGTTTGGAATAACTTGACACACACACACACCCCCGATAGGGAAGTTTTAAAGACCATGGGAAAGGGAGACGACTTTTGCTGAAACTGAGCATTAAGGCTTCTTAGTTGAAATCAAAAGAGGAGATGTTACTGGTATTGACTATACCCCAGTGTCAGTACTCTCAGTTGGTTTGGTGGCCAGGACTTTCAGCTAGGCCTGCTGAGAAGGCCACATGCTGCCACAGCTCTTCCTGAAGGTCCCTGTAATGTGTTCATGTATGTATTCAGTGCTTATCGTATGGCAGGTGCTCTGCCAGGCTGGTGATACAGTCTTGATCCAAATGCCTGGAGCAAGTATCCCCCGGATCAGTCCCTGTTCTCATGCCCTATCGTTTCTGTCATATTCCTACCCCATCTCTCACCAGGGTTAGGCTCAGGTCTACTGCAGAGGTTGTACAGTGGTGACTACAGTGGGATTTGTTTGGCCCCATTACAAAAATTAAAAGCCAGCATTTGAAAATTGGGAGATGTCATATCAAAATCCAAATTTCTGGCTTCTCTGAAAAAAAGAGAAGACCTGGTAATACTAAGTCTGCATTTCTATAGGGCAAAAATCAGCTCCAGTGGAATAATGGCTGCCATCATAGATACGCTTTGCAAGCCTGGCTTCTTTACCATACTTCGCCCCATTCTCTATTGCCCACCCAACACGAAGGCTGAGTGTCAGTTGCTATTTAATATCTGTATCCAAAAGAGAGAAAACTAAGGACAGACCTAGAAGGCCATGTGGGGAAAAAACATTTTTTATGGAAGTAAAAAATATTCTTATTTTCCTGTATTCACTTACTTTTCCTGCCTGACCCTTGTAGGCATTTGAGTTTTTTTCCTCATCCAGGGAGTTGAGCTGCCCCCGAGGCTGGGTCTGTGAGGCAGCTGAAGGCCAGGCCATTTCAGACTGCAAGGCCTGCTCTGCATGTGGGGTGGGAGCTTGGAGGAGCTCAGCTGCTTTCATTCAGTGTTCCAAGGCTTGCTTCCACACTCGGGTTTCCTTAGTGCTCATTCCGTTCTAAGGCCCCTGGAGAAAGGCAGGTCCAAGCTTTAGTTTAGCTGACATTGAACTCTAAAAACAAATGGGTTTCTTCCCAGGGTGAGAAGGAGGGCTTAGTGATGGTTTGCCCTCTTTGCTTCAGTTATGCCACAGGCAGGACCACAGGTGTGGTGCTGGACTCTGGGGATGGCGTCACCCACGCCGTGCCCATTTACGAGGGCTTTGCCATGCCCCACTCTATCATGCGCATCGACATTGCTGGCCGGGACGTCTCTCGCTTCCTTCGCCTCTACCTGCGTAAGGAGGGCTATGATTTCCACTCATCCTCCGAATTTGAGATTGTCAAGGCCATAAAAGAAGTGAGTGATGCCTGGTGGGCCTCGGGATGGGAAGGGGAATGGGAGGGGAGCAGCCAGGACCTCGGTGACCTCCTGCCTGGGGTCCCAGGTCAGGCCCTGTTCTCCCCAGCCAGACCTCCTGGCAGGGAGGTGACAGATTCACCTTCCTGAAGTGCTGCCATCTTGTGGGGGGAAAGGGAGCTGTACACAAGTGCTCAGTATGTTTTATGCCTTATGTACAAATTACATAGGTTCTTTAACATCCTTGAAGAAGTCATACTACTTTTTTTCTTTTTAAGTAAATTGAACCATACGAGTAGTAGAAGGAGATAGATGCCTGGGTGTGGGGTAAAACTAGACTGTAGTCTCAGACCCAGGATCCAGAGAGCCAAGTCTCCAATCTTGCCCACCAGGAAGGTAGAGCAGGTGAGAGTTCATATCCTTAGTGCCTCCCAATGAAGGCCAACAGAGACCTCCCTGTTTCTGCTTCTGGGCAGCAGCTCCTGTGACCATTAGGGCAATCACTGTGGATAGATGGGTTTCTATAGCAGCATATTACTATCCTGGGACTGTGACTAAGTGTGGGCCAGATATCCCACCCACCTGACTATTGTGTTTGGTCCCACAGAGAGCCTGCTACCTATCCATAAACCCCCAAAAGGATGAGACACTGGAGACAGAGAAGGCTCAGTACTACCTGCCCGACGGCAGCACCATTGAGGTAGGTGGCTGGACTCCCCACCTCCACAGTCCCCTCAGGCCCACAGAAGCCTTGGGCCCAAACAGAATGGTCCTGAGGGCTGGAGCCCAATTTGCAGTGGAGCTCCTGAGCAGCACAAGCAGCCCTGCCTACGCAGAGGAGGTGCCATGTGGAGGGGAAGGGACTCCAAGTCAGGTATGGGATTAGGAAGGGGGATGCTTAGTGCTGTCCTTAACCACTCCTGGGTATAGTACAGGGTGAGTTGTCACTCCCTTGAACTCTCACTGATAGGAAGAAATTTCCATGAGTGAATAAATCCACATATTAATACCAAAGATCTTTTGCTTGGAAAATGTCAGGTCTACGATTAAATGTAGGTGCTTCCCCTCTCTAGTTTCCCAGAGCCCTATTTGTTCCCAGGAGCCCTATCTTTGTTCCTTGAGGCTCTTGACACATAGGGTCTGTCTTGAACCTAGCCTTCATAGCCACCGGGTTAGTAAGAGATATGCAAAGGGGCCTCTTCCATTCCCACTCCCAAAGGGAACTCAGTCCTAGCCCCAACCTCTTAAGCTGGCCCTCTACCCTGCAGATTGGTCCTTCCCGATTCCGGGCCCCTGAGCTGCTATTCAGGCCAGACTTGATTGGTGAGGAAAGCGAGGGCATCCATGAGGTCCTGGTGTTTGCCATCCAGAAGTCTGACATGGACCTGCGGCGCACACTTTTCTCCAACATTGTCCTCTCGGGAGGCTCCACCCTATTCAAAGGTTGGTCTTTGCTCTTTTGGCCTTATGCCTGGAAGCATCCAGATCCTGCTGGGACCAGATACCCAGAGAATTGACTTGATATTTTCCTTTTCTGCTTGCTCAGGGTTTGGTGACAGGCTACTGAGTGAAGTGAAGAAACTGGCTCCAAAAGACGTGAAGATTAGGGTAGGAGTATGATGGGGGTTGGCCTGGGTGGGCCTGGAGTGCTGCATGGGACCTCCCTCTGGCTGTGCCTAAGGTCTTTGGGCTGCCAGGGCTCTACAGGCAGCACCAAATGTCTCCCAGCTTACACACTGACCCTGAGATCTAGGTCAGCCAGGGGGAGGTTCCATTCCCATTCTCCCTCTTCACTCAAAAAGAAGGCTGATCTAACACCCAAATATGGCAGGGCCCTAGGTTGAGGGCCCCAGGTGTGATCTTTCAGGGAAACTAAAAGTGACAGGAAATTATCTGGGTATGGTGGCATGCGCCTATAGTCACAGCTCCTTGGGAGGCTAAGGTGGGAGGATCACTTGAGACCAGGAGTTCAAGACCAGCCTAGGCAACATACCAAGACCCTGTCACTTAAAAAAAGAAAAAATTGACAGGAGATTGACTTTTACTGCTGCTGTGCCCCTTTACCAGGTGGCTCCCTTGTCACACAGTCTGACTTCTTTGTGACAGTAGAGGAAGCTGGCTACCTGAGGAGGGATGTTAAAGGAAGGAGTTCCTGCCATGGAGTCTGTTGCCCCCAGCCCCCAGGTAGCCCCAGCTCCCCTGGGAGCTGTAGATACTTAGGGCTGCTGGAAACCTGCTTCTCTAGATGAGTGTCAGGCTGGCCACAGTGCCCTCCAGAGAGGCCACAGAGTCTGGCAGGGCAGAGCTTAGACCTGGTGTGTGAAATGCATCCTCTACCTTGGGTGGTGAGAGGAGCGTTAGAAGGGAAAGGGAAGAATGGGAGTCACAGATTCTTTCCACCACCTTTGCAGATATCTGCACCTCAGGAGAGACTGTATTCCACATGGATTGGGTGAGTAACTTCCAGAAGTAAGAGGGGAACAGGAAGCAAGGCATGGATAAGCCCTCATCACCCGATCCCTTTAATGAAAAGCCTGATTCGGTTTGGCCCCAGGGGTCTGGCTGGCTCCATGCTCACTCACTTCTCTCTTACACTGTTCCTTTGGATTCTCTCCACTCCAGGGGCTCTATCCTTGCCTCCCTGGACACCTTTAAGAAGATGTGGGTCTCCAAGAAGGAATATGAGGAAGACGGTGCGCGATCCATCCACAGGAAAACCTTCTAATGTTGGGACATCATCTTCTCTCTCTGAAGTTAACTCCACTTTAAAACTCGCTTTCTTGAGTCGGAGTGTTTGCGAGGAACTGCCTATGTGTGTGAGAGTGTGTGTGGGTACGAGAGTGTGTGCACAGGTGTGAATGTATGTGGCCCGGGGATCCCTGGGCCCAGAAAGGACGATGAACTACCCATGGTGGCAATGGCCTGAGGCCTGGGGTTGACCACTAACTGGCCTGACAGGGAAATGTGCTGGCAGAGGCCACAGGGCTTCCCTGGCTGGGCCTTTGGCTGGCTGTGTGGGCCTACGTTTACTACCACAGGGAGACGAGAGGGAGGTAAACCAATCCCCCAGGAGACCTTGCTGCTGCCCACCCAGGCTGGGCCGGCCCCACCCCCACCCAGAGGCCCAGGCAGCTGCTGCCTCCCCTTCCTCATCACTCTGTTCAGGATGCCTCCTGACCACATGCTGAGAACTGGGACTGGGGCTGAGTTCTGTCTGGTTATGTTGCCATTTTGGTTTGGGAGGCTGGAAAAACATTCTAGAAGCGGTTACAGAGACTCTGGGGTCAGGAGAGAGCAAGAGGTCCTCGAGTTCACCTGGGAACCACCCCGGGCATTGGAGGAGGGCAAGAGTCCATGCTATTTCTGGTTGGCTGCAAAGCTAATGCTGCACGCCCAGCCAGTCCCCTTTTAGGTCTCGGGAGAATTTAAGGAGCCTGCTGACTCCAGGTCCTGTCACTTGCTTTTCATCCATCCTTGTTGCAATGCCATCTTCAGTTTTACTTATTGAAGTGTTTGTTCGGTGAGGGGCTGGAGAGAGGGAGCTCACCACCTCCTGCCCTGCTCACACTAATGTTTACAGACCTACAGTTAGCCTAGCATCCAGGGCCCTGCCTCTCCCTGCTGCTGAGCTGACAGTATCCATAAGCCACAAGACCACTTGGGATTGCAGGCTACACTCAAAGGCACTCCCGTCAGCCCCTCTCTCCCAGTTCTACTTGCTGGAATGAACAGGCTGGTCGCTGGCTGGATTCTCTGAAACAGGAGGTACAGTCACTCATTGGCAGAGGCCCAAGCAAAGGAGGGTATTTGAGCTCTAGTACCCTTAGGACTGGAGAAAACTGCAATTAACCAAGTTGCCTTTGCCACTCTAGCTGACCAGAGGACTAGGTGGTAGAGGTGGGACAGCCCCCTCTGGGCTGATCTTGTGCCATTCTTGACTTTGGACCTGATTGGTTAGGGAGTGAGAGGGCCAGACGCTGATAGGCCCAGACCTGGCTTCTCAGAGTGGTCCAAAGCCCTTCAGCCCAGATCATGCAAAGCCGGGGCCAGCCTGTCTTCACTGGCACCCTCACCCGTGACACCAAGACCCACCCTAATCCCAGATTCCAGGCAGTATTCTCTCCTACGCCATCCTATGACCAAAGGCCCCTGCCAGATGTGGGCCGCAGCAGCAGGTGTGTGTGAAAGCAGTGTGGCGCCCCGCGGACTGCATAACCAGCTCACCTCCCTTCTCTTAGCCCAAGCCTGTCCCTCGCACAGCCTCGCACAAACCATGTTGCCTGGTGGGGCCCAGTGTACTGAAATAAAGTCGTTCCGATAGACACATCAGCTGGGCCTCTTCCTGTCTCTGGCCATTGCTGGGTGGGAAGAAGGACGAGCTTGTGGTCCTGAATCTGAGGTGTTGCCTGGGCCTGGTCTGTCCTCTAGAGGGCATTGTTGCGCCAGCCAGACTTACCCAGGCTGCAGCCCAAGTTCCATCCTGTCTGTCAGGTGGATGCGGAAAAAATCACGTTCACACCAACACCCAGGTTCAAGAACTGAGAGTCCTGACTCTGTGTACACACTCAAACCCATGGGTGAGGCTCAACTCTGAATAACAGAAGCAGCTTTTGACATCCCTGATATCAGAGGTTCTCAAAACTTTCATGTGTATAAGAAGTAGTTTCTGGGACCCACACTCAAGATATCCATTTTAAACCTGCACTTGGAGGGAAATTACGAGGTGCTTGACAAATGTTAACCCATTTAATCTTCCCAATAACCCTACAAAGTGTAGGTGTTTTTATTATCCATTGTACAGATAAGGATCTGGAGCCACGGAAAGATCAAGCAATTTCCCGAAGTTCTGTCCTTTATCAGCTTGGATGTGAACCCAGGTAACATAGCCATAGAGCCTATGTTTTCAGCCACTATGCAGGCTCTCAGAAAGCACCGGCTTAGAGCAGTGGTTCCCAGCTGAGATCAATTTACCTCCCAGGATGCATCTGGCAATGTCTGGACATGTGTTTGGTGTCACAACTGGAGGAAGGGGAAGTACCTCTACTGGCACTTAGCAGGTAGAAGCAGAGGTGCTGCTAAATGTCCACAAAAAGAGTTATGTGGCCCCAAATGTCTCTAGTGGCAAGGTTGACAAACACTGGCCTGCAGCAGTGGTTTTCATCCCATCTGTGTAATAAAATCACCTACAGAGATTTCCCAAATCTGCGAACCTCTGGCCTATAAGAGGCTCCTCCTCTGACTCCCGTGTCCATTGGTGGTAGATGGGAAATGCACTGGGGCTGCTGGCTCCAAGCCTAAAGGTCATTTTGGTCCCCAGCACCTATGCAGTTATCAACCTGCATTTTTGTCCCTGGCACCTCAGGGAGTCTGATGCAGGTAACCCACCATTCCTTTGCAGAAATGCTCCCAGGTGCTTTTTCTAGTCAGGAGTCCTGACCCCTAATCCACCACTCACACCCACAGCACAGACCTAAAGAATAGGAATGACTGGCTTTAATCAGTCTGCAACAAAATCACCCTCTGGAGGCCTAGTGGGCTGGGGGAGCCCTACAGCAGGGGAGATGTGCTACATCCAGCACAGCTGAAGCAGAGAACCCTCAGGAACCACTGGAAGGGTGGAAGGAGGGGCTGTGGGATGGACAGCCTCCCCTGACTGGGCAGAAGGGAGCAGTTGCAGTATCAAAAGTGGTTCCTGAGCAGCCAGCCCTAGCCAGGCAATGGGATGGGCCTCCGAGCCCCATGGCAACCCTGTGTGCACGCAGGGCAGCCCTGTCCCTTCTTGGTCCTCTTCCCTCCTGTCCCCAGGGAAGCAGGTACCAGGTCCCTGAGCACATTTGGCCCAGCCCTTGCCCAAGCTGGGCTAGGCAGCTAAGCAGGGACTTAGACCTCAGCTCCTGGCTCAGCCCCAGGAGCTTCCACCCTGCCATCTGTCCTCCAGGCCACATCCAAGGAAGGTAAAAGAGGATACTCATAAAAGTGGGGCCAGGCACGGTGGCTCACGCCTAAAATCCTAGCACTCTGGAAGGCCGAAGCAGGAGGATTGCTTGAGCTCAGGAGTTCAAGACCAGCCTGAGCAAGAGTGAGACTCCATCTCTACTAAAAATAGAAAGAAATTAGCCAAACAACTAAAATAAAAAAAATTAGCTGGGCACGGTGGCGCATGCCTGTAGTCCCAGCTACCTGGGAGGCTGAGGCAGGAGGATCCCCTGAACCCAGGAGTTTGAGGTTGCTGTGAGCTAGGCTGACGCCAGGGCACTCTAGCCCAGGCAAGAAAGTGAGACTCTGTCTCAAAAAAAAAAAAAAAAAAATGTGGTTCCTACCCTGGGCTTCAGGCAGTGTCCTCAGCAGGGTGGCCTTGCTGCACCTCTCACACTGTCTTAATGTCCAGGGTTTGGGCCCGTGACAAGTTCTGGCGCTGGGCCTTGACCATGTGCAGGCGTCTCCCATGCAGCGTGAACTGGGACCAGGTAAAGAGCTGCAGCAGAGCACAGGTGATGGGCACCAGCACCAACAGATAGAAGCAGCCCTGGCGGAGCATTGGGGCCTGCGCAGGGGCTGGGGCCGGGGGCTCTGGCCAGGGCTGGGCACTCCCTATAGGGGTCATTGGGGGCTGCTGGAAAAGGTCGTGACCTAGGACAAGAGAGCACAGAAAAAGCACGGTCAGCCAGTTCCCCTCCAAGCCCTGGTTCCCTCTAAAAGCCATGGTGTGACATCTCAAAACATCACACACACATGTCCAGACCACAGCTTCCCCTCACCTCCCAAACCCGCTTCTCCCCTAGTCTTCCCTTATTGGTAAAGGGTACCACCCCCACCCAATAACGCAGGCCAAAAGCCCCAAAAGTCATCCTCAATTCCTCACTTCAGTGTACTCCACCAGTCTCCAACACCCAATTCTTCATTTCCCCCCAACTCCAAAACACACCAACCTGCCACCCCGGCCTAAGCCTCCATGCCCTCTGCTAGTCTCCCAGTTATCTCACTGCTATTCCCACCCCAGCCTCCTAAAATCTGTTCATACAACAGCCACAGTGAATTTTAACACAAAAATCTGACCATGTCACTTTGCCACTTAAAACTCTCTCAGTAGCTTCCCCTTGACTGAAAATAAAACCCAAACCTGCCTGATCAACAAAGCCCTCTTCACTTTTCCATCCCCATCTCCTAACCACTCCTGGAACCTTGGGCCTTTGCACTTGCCGTTCCCTCTGCCTGGGATGCCCTAAGCTCTTTTCTAGACTGAACCCTTGCCATTCAGTCCACATCCTGAGGGCACCTTCTCAGAGAAGCATTCCCTGATCACACCAAGTAGCTTCTCGGTCACACTGTCTCACATCTCCCTGTCTCATTTTTACTATGACACTTATCACTGCCTGATGTTTTCTTGTTTGACTGTCTGTTGCCACACCCCACGCCCACCCGATTAGAATATAAGCTCCATGATGGTGAAGACCTTTTCTGTCTTACTCATTATTATCTCCCCAGCACTCACAGCCTGCACAGAGAAGGTATTCTATACATATTTGTTGAGCAAATGAATGAATAAACTAAGAAAGAATGGAGGAATCTGAGAGCCAATGCCTCTAGCCACGTGGGGAGGGGCCAGTTGCCATCCTCTCTTGTTCACTGGACCCAGGCTTGCCAGCTGGGTGAGCTGTACCCCCTGGAGCCTTGGCAGCCCTCACTTTCCCCTGGGCCCTCACCTGTGTAGAAGCAGAGCAGCCAGGTGCCCAGCAACGGGGCAAAGGTCTGGCCTGGCTTGGTCACAAGGGCAACCATGCCAAAGAGAAGCGCCGAGGCTGCCTGTTTGCGGTGGTTCAGCACCAGGTCCTCGTCCACCAGGTCGGTGACCACTAAGGTCAGCAGCTTACAGGTGCCCTCAGTGAAGACACGGTTGCTGCGGTTGGAGAGAGAGCGCGGCAAGAGTGAAGGGGTGGGCAGAGGTTTGGGGGCGAGGGTGGGCAGGAGCATACCTGGCAATGAAGAGGCAGAGCAAGCCGAGGTGGTCCGGGCCAGCCAGCAGCATGAGCAGGCTAAGGCCCAGCTTGAGCAGGAAAAGCCCCCGAACGACAGCATAGACGCCCCAGCGTCGGCACAGGGGCAGGAAGTAGAGGTTGTTGAGATGGGGAGCGACATAGGAGATGCCTGGGGAGGGGCAGTGGGGCACCAGCCCGTCAGGGGCACCGCTGCAGCTTTAGTGACTGCCCATATCAGACTGCATTTGTAGCGCACTAATGATGTGCTGGGCTCTGTGCAAGAGCTTCATACTCTTTCATTTAATCCTCCCAACACTTTAAGGTAAGTACTATTACTATCCCTACTTTACAGATGAGAAAGGGAGGCCCAGAGAGGAAATAACACACCCAAGGCCACCCAGCAAGACTCCCCCGAAGGCCCATCAGACTACAGTCCTCCCCGCTAACCAGCCACTGCACTGCATCGCCTCAGGGTGGCACCATCTCCTAGAAACCGGACAGAAAGCAGCCCTACTCCCCCTACACCCAGGACAGGCCCGCTCCAGGAAAGCAAAGCTGGGGCCTGCAGGTGCGGCCCCCACCCTCTGCCACCTGAGTCCCAGCTGGTGAGGGGGCTGTGCCTGCAGCTGGACCAGGAGTTCTGGGGTACAAGCCTCTGCCCTTCCCATCTGCCCAGGGCACACACTCACCCAGCAAGATGGAGCCTGTGGAGAGGGAGATGTGGTCCGACAACAGATGCTCCAGGAAGAGGGGGAAGAAGTTGCTGTTGAAGTGGCAGTGGAAGACCTGCAACCCAACGGGGACAGTGAGGAGGCCACCAGCCAGGAGAGAAGTCAGTAGGGCCAAAAGCCAATAGGGGAGCACATGTCCCCTGGCCCTCAGAGCAGCAGGCCTTTATCCCCATGTCCCTAAACATGCAACGTGCCAGAACAAAACCTAAATCCACATTCCTGCTACTTATCTGATTTAGTTAGAAGGCATAATAAAATAGTATTGGAACAATGAAAAGTTTTTTTCTTTTTAATTGAAACACCTTTCTCATGACATAAAAACCAATTTATTTCTAAGTTTGGCTACATGTGTTACATACTACATGTGTTTTAGGTGTGGTACTTGGTGTTTTCAAAATATTGTCACAGAGTCCCCAAAAGGAGCATCTCTATTTCATATCCCACTTTACAGATGAGGACAGGGCTGCCCAGAGTCACTGAGACCTGCCTGAGATCACACAGGAAGGGAGGGGATCAGATGGTGCTAGAGTCCGGGTCTCCTGACTCCCCAACCTGTGTTCCTGCCACTGGATCATCCAGCAGTCCTCATGGGCAGCCCAGAAACGAGTTCCCAGCTCTTGAGGAACCTGTCCACTTGAGTGAGGCTTAGCCCAGCGTGGAGGGGCCTGGGGGCTGCTCCCCGTACCTGCACCAGGTCCATGCCCACGAACCACAGGAAGTTCCGGTGGCGTGTCAGCTGCCGGAGGTACTGGCCCAAGGTGACACTGCCCACTTCCTCACTGCCCACAAGCAGCTCCTCTCCACAGAGGCTGTGGGGCAGGAGGAAGTTGAGAACTGCCTGGGGCTGGGCCAGAGTCATCCCCCACCCCAGGGCAGCCACCCAGCAGCCAGGGGACCCAGCCCTGAAATCAGCCCCAGAAGAGTGCTGGTGGGAACCTGGGCAGCAGGGCTGGCCACTCACCTGCCATCCACAGCCAGGGCTGAGCACCCAGGCTCCCTTCTGGCCACCTCAACCCGCCGCCTCAGCAGTTGTGTGGCCCCCAGAAAACCCAGCCCAGAGCCGGTGGCCAGTGTCACGCAGAAGGCGCGGAAGGAGGAGAAATCCTCCTTGTTCCAAAAGGCGTAGGAGGCAAAGACAGAGAGCGAGCCAGCTGCACTGAAGAGGGAGCAGCAGAAGTTGAGGTGGGTGCGATCGTGGGCCGAGAGGGCCAGGTCAGCCAGCAAGGCGTGGTGGTGCAGGTCCACGAGAGTCAGGAAGCCATCATACAGGCATAAGCACAGCAAGAACTGCAGGCCGGCCGGGGCCCAGGGCACCCAGAATGCCAGGAACGACAGTGCCAGCAGGGGCCCGTGCCTGCTCAGCGCCTGCACCCGGGCCAGCACAACGGCCCTCGAGGAGAGCCCAGCACCCGACCTGCCGGGGAAGGAAGGGCTGTTGAGAGATGCCCTTTCAGCATTGGCCCCAGCTCCTCCTGCCCAGGTCCCAGAGGGAGGATGGAGGCCCAGAGTGTGGGACTCACAACAGCGTGGTCCCACTGTGCCCCAAGTACCCAGCCTTCAATTTAGGAAGCACAATTCACCAATGGGTACACTGTCCTCTGCCCCAGTCTCTTCCCTTAGTAGCCTGTCAGGGCTGACGGGCAAAGGGTGGTGGGATACCCACTTCTCAGTCTTGGGGACAGCAATAGCTCAAATAGGGAGGGGGTAAAGGAATCTGCTAGAAGCAGCAGAAGGTGTTTGCAGTACAGTCAAGCCAACCTGGGATAAATCTCTTCCCTTGGCAAGCAAGGCTAGGGTTAGTCAAGATGACTCCTCCAGCCTGGACAGAGCCTACGCTGAACCCCAGGAAATGAGGGGACATGGACAACCCCTGAAATGGTCTCCCTTCTTCCCCCCCCACAAACACAGGCAGGGGTCCTCCAGCCCTGGGAGAAGTGGGGTGAGACTGAACCAGTTATGAGCACTCCCTAAGACACAAACCGGGGCTGGGAGCTGAGGAACTGGCGGTCACTGAGCCAGCCGAAGAGGGGGTCATTGAGGCTGTTCCAGAGGAGAAACACCGTCTGCAGGCAGAGGGGAGATGGGGTAGGTGGGCTCCAGGCACCCTCCTCTCCAGGGTTACCCCTACCCCAACCTGCTCACCGCCCTCACAGATGGCTGCAGCCTTCCTGCCTGCAAACCTTTGTTCTCTGACAGCCACTGCCCCATCAGACTCCAACCCATCCAGGGCCCGACTGTTACATGTAGCCAGCTGATTAGATTAATACATGAGAACATACTATATTATACAGATGAGTACACAGAACAGTGACTACATAAGACAGTGGCCAGGAGAGCTGGTCTTGTCTGCACCGAGGGTTATCGAGGCCTCCACCAGCTTTTCTTGCTGAGTCTGCCCCATGCCCCTGACGAGGCAGGACCCAGCACCTGTAATCTGCATGACAGCCCACACATCCTCTCTTCCCCCACTCAGGCTAGCCGCCCAGTGCTGGCCCTACCTCTCCAACCCAGAAGGCCGTTTTGTTGATCTTGTACACCGAGACAAAGGTGTCCACGTAGTAGAGTAGGAACACGTTGTGCAGGATGGAGGTGAAGAGGGCCAGGGAGCCATAGACCACGGCTGTGGGCAGGCCCAACAACCAGGCCTGAAGGCGACCCAGCCCCATGGCTGCCAGCCCCAACCTCAGCCCCAGGAGCACTGAGGGCTCATGACCGTGGGCAGTCTCGCCATCCTTGTCCCTGGGGAAGAAGGAGCCAGTTAGCAGCAGGGATCAGAGCCAGCTATGCTCTTAACCTCAAACCTCTGAGTCATTTAAAAACTCATTTCCACTGGGAGAGAGTTTGTACTTAAAACAAAGCTGGGGAATCATCAATGAAGTAAACTGAAACGATGCTACGCCAGATACCACTACTCTGGGAGTAACGAGGAAACTGACAAAGCCTGTGGGAAGAGAAGGGCGACATTGAGCACTGAGCCAGGTCCTGTGCTAGGGTTGGATGCTCAATACCTTCTTACATCCACGCTTACAACCCTAACAGTCTGGACATGACAACCCTGGGCCTGGGCACACACTGAACTTACAGTAAAACCTCAGGCAAGCTACTTAATCCAAGCCTCAGTTTCCTCCTCTAAGAGAGGTAAGAGGGGGGCCAGGCGTGGTGGCTCACGCCTGTAATCCTAGCACTCTGGGAGGCCTAGGTGGGCGCATCACTCAAGGTCAGGAGTTCGACACCAGCCTGAGCAAGAGCGAGACCCTGTCTCTACTAAAAATAGAAAGAAATTAATTGGTCAACTAAAAATTTATAGAAAAAATTAGCTGGGCATGGTGGTGCATGTCTGTGGTCTCAGCTACTCGAGAGGCTGAGGCAGGAGGATTGCATGAGCCCAGGAGTTTGAGGTTGCCGTGAGCTAGGCTGACGCCACGGCACTGTAGCCGGGGCAACAGAGTGCGAGACTGTCTCAAAAAAAAAAAAGGTAAGAAGGATGGTGCTGCCTACTTTGCAGAGGAACTTAAGGATTAAATGAGGTAACTTGCAAAAAGTACTCAATAAACACATGTTGGTAGTATCATTCATATTTTCACGAAATCCCTACAAAGTTTATAGCACTATAAGATTTTACAGGAGAGCAACTCCAAGCTCAGAGATGTTAAGTAATTTGACCAATGTCACACAGCAAAAGAACAACAGATTTGAATCCAGGCCTGGCTGGCTCCAAAGCTTTTTCTGCCACTTGACCTCCCAAAAAGTTCCTATGTACTATTGGGGAGAAGAGTAAAACCTGGGGTGATGTGTGCTCAGTGACAAGAGTGCTAAGATGTGGTAAGAGTCCACAACTGCTCATGCACTTTGATTCGGGAAATTCTACCTCAAGAAACTAATCCAGGCCTGGTGCGGTGGCTTACGCCTGTAATCCTAGCACTCTGGGAGGCAGAGGCAGGAAGACTGCTTGAGCTCAGGAGTTCAAGACCAGCCTGAGCAAGAGGGAGACCCTGTATCTACTAAAATCAGAAAAATTAGCACTTACCTGTAGTCCCAGCTACACGGGAGGCTGAGGCAGGAGGATTGCTGGGGCCCAGGAGTTGGAGGTTGCAGTGATCTATGATGACCCAGGTGACAGAGCAAGACTCTGTCTCAATAAAAAAAAAAAGAAAGAAACTAATCAAAAAGAATATGTACAGAGATGTTCATCACAGCAAAAAGCTAGACACAGCCCAAGAACACAACAAAGGGACAGGCTGGGCTAGCTCAACGCTTTCCAAAAAGGACCTGCACGTGGCCACCATCAACACATGGGGAGAGAAACTCAAGAACATGTTATGTGAAAAGAGAGAACCAAGGACAGCAAACCCATGCACAAAGACCAACAGCTAGGATGACCAGAAGTGGGAAGGAAAATAAAAGTCAGATCTTTATTAGTCCAGAGCTTCTCAAACTGTACTATGTGTAGGGGTAACCTGCAGACTTTGTTAAAATGTAGCTTCTGACTCAAGAGGTCTGGGAAGAATCTGAGATTCTGGATTTCTAACAGGCTCCCAAGTGAGGCTACAGTTGCTGGTCTATGACATTTTCAGCAGCAAGACCTTAATTAAGTCTCTCTTTTTTAGACTCAAACCTGTCCTTGTCCCATGCCCCAGTAGCTCTCACTGCCTAGCACACCAAGGTCACCACCTGGCCCCTCCACCTGGCTGGCAAGGCCTCTGCAATCTGGCCTCTCCCAGCCTGTCCAGCCCGGCCTTCTCTGGCCAGGCCTCCATCCCTGCAGCTTCATCCCACGGCCAGCACCCTCCCCATTTGCATCTCCCCCATTCTTCAGGATCCAGCCCTGTGTCCAGGAGACCTTATACAACCCTCTGGCCTCGCTGGTCCTGCTCGCCCCCACAGCTCGTTTGCTCTGTTTGCACAGTAGACACTCCTGACTGCCTCCCCGACTGTGGGGTTTTCAAGGGCAGGGCCTGGGTCCTCGCCTTCTAGCTCCCTCTCAAGAACAGGGGAGGCTCTGAAGAGGATGAGGAGGGGATCTCACCGAAGAGCGAGTGGTGACTCCCTCAAGAGATCCACATGCACCTCCCCCTCCCCATGCCAACCTTGTGCCAGTCTATGCTTAGTGGCGGGGAAACGAGAGGAGGAGGAGTGGCCAAAACCACCTGAAGCAGCCCTGCACTGTGAGACTGTTCCCCCAGTGGCCACAGTGATCCGGTCTTGCCCCCAGGCAGGAGGATGGGCAGGGGGCCTCTCCCTAGGGCCCTTGAGCCCCTGAAGGAAATGATTTTCTTTTTATTTTTTTCCTCAGAGCTTTTTTTTTTTTTTTTTGAGACAGAGTCTTACTTTGTTGCCCAGGCTAGAGTGAGTGCCGTGGCGTCAGCCTAGCTCACACAGCCTAGCAACCTCAAACTCCTGGGCTCAAGCGATCCTCCTGCCTCAGCCTCCCAAGTAGCTGGGACTACAGGCATGCACCACCATGCCCGGCTAATTTTTTTTTGTATATATATATTTTTTAGTTGGTCAATTAATTTCTATTTTTAGTAGAGACGGGGTCTCGCTCAGGATGGTTTCCAACTCCCAACCTCAAGCAATCTGCCCACCTCGGCCTCCCAGGCCACCGCGCCCATCCAGCACTGCTTTTCTAAGTGTCATGGTGGAAAGAAGATACACCTGGAGTTCTCACAAGTCCTGACTCTACCATTTACCACCGGTGTGACCTGGAGTGATTTACTTAACCTCTCTGTGCCTGTTCACAGTCAATGAGAAAATAAAGCACTAGAGCTTTAAAGACGATTACTATCCAACCTCTCAGACGTTCCATAAAATGGAGAGGGCCCCAAGACCTGCCATACAGGTCAGGAGTGAGGATTAAATGAGATCCTTTCTAAAGTGCTTTGGGGCTATAAAGCACAACCTACACCTCTGTCACTATCCTTAACCCAGGCCACTTTCTGTGATTACCCCAAGGCTTTCAGAACCCCCAGCCTCAACCCCAAAACTGTAGGTGAAAAGGAGTGAAGGCCCCAGATGCCCAGGGACTTGTCCTTGTTGCTAGAGGTGACCCTGCACACAAGGTCCCCAGTCCTCCCCAGCCTCCCCCAGCCGGCTCCATGAGGGTAGAAGGATGAGGGTAGAAGAAAACTTCAAAAGGTAGAGAGGTGGAAAGAGTGTAACTTTTGCTGTCAGAGGGCCTGGGTTCAAACCCTGACCACACTTCCTACTAAGAGTGTAGCCTTAGGCAAATCACTTTACCTTTCTGAGCCTTGGGTTCCTCATCTATAAAATGGGATAATAATGCCTATTTTTATAGGGGTACAGAAAGGATTAAACAAATGTTTAATCAGGAAGCCCAGAATGTCATGCCTGTAACACAAAGGATGCTCAGAAATTGGCTTTTTCTTTTTCTTTTTTTGAGACAGAGTCTTACTCTGTTGTCTGGGCTAGAGTGTTGTGGCATCATTATAGCTCACTGCAACCTCAAACTCCTGGCTCCTGGCATCCTCCTGCCTCAGCCTCCCAAGTAGCTAGAACTACAGGTGCACGCCATGATGCCCTGCTATTTTTAGTAGAGATGGGGTCTCGCTCTTGCTCATGCTGGTCTTGAATTCCTGAGCTCAAGTGACTCTCCCACCTCAGCCTCCCAGATTGCAGGCATGAGCCACCGCGCCCAGCCAGAAACTGGCCTTTTCTTGGGCTCACTTAGATCAAGGTAGGAGCAGGGAAATATTCTGGTAATCAGACCACTTCCTAGGTAGGGGAGTTTGAGAAAAAGATGGGGCACAGGAGGGAAAGTCAGAAAAGGGGGGCCTGCAAGGAGCAGGAACATACACAATGTTTGGGAATGCCAGAGATAAACTCCCATCACAGACCTGAGCTGAGCTGAGCACAGCGACCTGTCCAGGTGAACAGCTCCCTGGAGAGGGAGCTGGGGTAGGTGTGTACAGGGTTACTCTTTAGCAGTTTCTCTTCCAGATCCCCTTCCTCCATCAGGAAACAGCCTCTCACCCTCCTACCCTCAACCCGCCCCAGCAGAGAACAGCAGCCCTGCCTTTCTGAGGGAACACCGCTTGGAGCCCACACCAGCCTTGTTGCATAAGCTGGGTGAGATATCCTATAACCTGCAACCAACTCCACCTGCCCCCTTGGCACCTTCTAGGGCCCATCTGCCCTGGGTATGGTCCCAGCTGGTGGCCTTGAGCCAGCCACTCCCTCTCCCTGAGCCTCGATCTCCTCACCTACAAAGTGGGGATGTTAATGCCCACTTTGTAGATGGCTGTGAGCTGAAATGCAAAAGGAATATAAAGCACCAAGCATACTACCTGGCTCACAGAAGACCCTCAATACATGACAGCTATTTTTTTTCATGTCTCTGAAGTTTAGTTTCATGATCAGTCATTGACCCCTCTGCCAAATCCTTGACTGAGGTTGTCTTTCCAGCACCCAAGCTTGACACCTGTTGTTGCCTTGACCATCTTAGCCCTCTTGTCTACCATCCTCAAATTCTTTTTTAAATGCCACCTTCAGGCCAGGTGCAGTGGCTCACACCTGTAATCCCAGATCTGTGGGAGGCTGAGGCGGGAGGATTGTTTGAGGTGGGATTTTGAAACTAGCCTGGGCAACATATTGTAAGAACTCATCTCCACAAAAAATTTTAAAAACTAGCTGGGCACAATGGCATATGCCTGTGGTCCTAACTACTGGGGAGGCTGAGGCAGCAGGATCACTCGAGCCCAGGAGTTACAGGTTGCAGTGAGCAAAGATCGAACCACTGCACTCCAGCCTGGGCAACAGAGCGAGATCCTGTCTCTAAAAATAATAAATAGGCCAGGCGTGGTGGCTCATGCCTGTAATCCTAGCACTCTGAGAGGCTGGGGCGGGAGGATGGCTCAAGGTCAGGAGTTCAAAACCAGCCTGAGCAAGAGCGAGACCCCGTCTCTACTAAAAATAGAAAGAAATTAATTGGACAACTAAAAATATATAGAAAAAAAAATTAGCTGGGCATGGTGGCGCATGCCTGTAGTCCCAGCTACCCGGGAGGCTGAGGCAGGAAGATCACCTGAGCCCAGGAGTTTGAGGTTTCTGTGAGCTAGGCTAACGCCATGGCACTCTAGCTGGGGCAAGAGTAAGACTCTGTCTCAAATAAATAAATAAATAAAAATAATAAATAAATAAATGCCACCTCCACACTTTTGTTCATGCTGTTCCTGCCACCTGGATACCCTAAATATAACCACATACCATTTCTCATGCACATAGGATATGCTTGGCTTTTATATCCATCATCGCGAATCCTTACGACTGTTACTTATTGCCATTCACATTTTATTTTTTAATTTTTATTTTATTTTATTTTATTTTGAGACAGAGTCTCACTTTGTTGCCCAGGCTAGAGTGAATGTCGTGGCATCAGCCTAACTCACAGCAACCTCAAACTCCTGGGCTCAAGCAATCCTCCTGCCTCAGCCTCCTGGATAGCTGGGACTACAGGCACGCACCACCATGCCCAGCTAAGTTTTTCTCTATATATATATTAGTTGGCCAATTAATTTCTTTCTATTTATAGTAGAGACGGAGTCTCGCTCTTGCTCAGGCTGGTTTCAAAGTCCTGACCTCAAGCAATCTGCCCACCTCGGCCTCCCAGAGTGCTAGGATTACAGGCATGATTCACCTCGGCCTGGCCATTCACATTTTATAGATGGAGAAACTGAAGCTCTGAAGGTTAAATAACTGACCCAAAGTCAGTTATTAGTAGTTTTTCCCCTCTGCACTAATGCTTCCTGCTCAGTCTTTAGCATTTCCAATGGGAATCAGAAGCAAACACCCACCTCCTTCTACTTCTAATGCCTCTCACACCAGGGGTGCAGTTTGGTCTTCTCCAGTTTTCTCCACCAAATCTATCAGCCCCCCCCCCCACTGGAGGTTGGTCAGAAATCAGGGAGATGCTGCCATTTCCATCTCTTTCTAGTTCTTTATCTCCCAGGAGCTCAATGGGGAGAAGGGTAGAAAGTTTTTACACGATGACAGAGGGCTCTTTCCAAACAGATCTGATTCTGTCACCTCCCCACTCCCAGTGCCTATC